GTAACCTTATGCAACACAAGCTAATGAATATTTGACAACATAGGATTTTTGGCAAGACCAGTGTCCATAAAAGCATGCCCTTATCTTTGTGAAATAGCAAACCATTCATGAAGTCACTGTAGAGTAGACTATTAGTGCTTATGTTATTTTAAGGACTAGTTTTTGTTGTTGTTGTTTCTGTGTGTGTGTGTGTGTGTGTGTGTGTGTATGTGTTTTGCAAAGCTATTCTTTTCTGTTGTGTAGCATCTGGCTCCTACTTATAGACAAAAACTGGCAACAAGCCCAAAAAGGCTTTCCAGAGTGGGGATAAATGAGATAATAGAATTTTTAGTAACCTTATTTGGCACTTTCAGTTAAGGCAAAAGCGAAAAGGAAACAAAGTTTAGAAGATCCTGTTCATTTCTCATTAAATAATTATTAGGGTATCTTTAGTTAAAGGGTTCTCTTTTCTCAGCTATTTAATGGTAAAATCACTCACCTGGAGAATCAAATGATCTGGATCCTAACTTTGTCACTTATTATGTGCCTTGAACAAGTGACAAATTTTCTTGGCCTTAGTTTCCTTAACTATAAAATGAAGGGGTTATATGGATGACTTTGAAGGGCCTGTCCAGTCCTAAGACTATGAGTCTATGATTCTGAAATTATATTCTTACTGAGAAACTCGCTGCAAGAATCCCTGAGTTATTTTCTATTCATTGCAGGCTCAGAAACTCCAACATAGTAATGCCTTCATATATTATAGGATTCAACAAGTTTCTCAAAGAGGACCATGACATCAGGAAGGTGATGCCATGACTTGCAAGTGAAATGTATTTAAGTGAGGGACGGCTGTGCAAAGTTACCTAGTCTGTCTCTGTCTCTGTCTGTCTCTGTCTCTGTCTCTCTCTCCTCCGCAACCCTCTAGTGGCAAGATCAGGATGACTGGAAATGGCCCTGGATGCCGTGGGAGACCTTGGCCTTTTTAAGTTAAGCTCTTTCCCAGGACTCACATTCGATTGAGGCAACACCCATTCAATGATTATGGCTAGGAATATATGTTAGGATTCAACAAGTTTAAGTGTATTTTAACTATGAATAACAGGAAGCTATGCAAGTGCTCAGACATTAATATAATTCTTCCTGTCCAGAAAACTGGGTCTAAATGCAGCTGAAGCTGGTGAAAAGTTGTCAGTAGATTTTAAATGTTTAAAGCCCACAGCTATTATATTTCTCTCAAATAAAAGCTATACATCAGCTGGTAGTCTGAAGCAATAACTCTGCATTAGCATTAGAGCTGAAAGTTTTTGCCACTATAAAGTAATAAAGTAATATGCGTCACTGACTAACGTTTTGGTGTTAACTCCCGTTGCTAAGCTTTTGGGAAAGCAAAAATCCCTAGCATAAACATTAAGTAAAATGTTGGTATCTGTTTTAATGATCCAAGAAACACAGTGATTCAGAAAAGAAGTTAACGTAAGGCAGATGTTATCAGTTTCAGAAGATACAGAAGTTTTAAGCACATGGCACATGCTTGTATTCTTATAAAAACCGAGCTGTAGCTTTTTGACGCATACTGTAGAAACCTGAATCCTTATTCTGGGCTTTTGCCTGGCTCACAAAGGTAGTAGATGTAATAGCAGCTGACCTAAAATAAAACAGAGCTCTAAAGTCCCTTCACCTTTTTCTCAGGGGCACATTTCAAAGAGGAGGCCATCATTACCCTGCACAGAAGGCTCCTGTCCCAGAAAAGCTCTTACTCAAAAACATCGCTGTCAGTATTTTTACCACACTAACCCTTCTGACAAAAGATAGTCTCTCTGCATCAAAAGTATTTTATAAAAGTGGAGAATTTCTCCTTTCTGTACTTGCAGATAGCCTTTGATAAAAGATCCACTTTGACCATTATTATGATTCTAATGAGAGATAAGGTGGTAGATTAGTGCCTCCATTTTAAAGATGGGTTCTTCATTATTTTTAATTTTTAAAAAGTACAGTAAATCTTTAGCTAAATATCTGACCTAGCTAAAAATCACTAAGATTGCTAGAGAGACATGCTTTTGTAGTCTGAAGTACTTCCTTGAGATTTTCTCCAAGACTGATAAATGTCTTCAAGACTGATTAAAGATTAAATTTAAAAACTAGAGGGAGAGGAAGCTGGCAGTAGTAGATTGTTTAAAGGTAACTTGCTTTGCTATTTCCAAATCCTCCTTACTGAGAAAACGGAAAAGGGAACAACAATAAAAGTAAATGCATGAAGTCTAGTCATGCTAAGAACACAGGTAAAACCACTGAACTAAAAGGACAGCAGGATATTTCATTTACAGATACTTCCTGACTTTCTAAACATTACACGAAGGCAGATTAAAAGTCACAAGAGAAGTTCTTTGACAAATATTTAGATCCCAAACACTTCAATTTTCAGTTTTGTTTTTTTTTTTTACAAAGCATTTTGGCAGGTTATACACATGAAAAAAATCACATCTCCCATTTCTTGGGATGTTTATGCTGGTCTTATCTTCTTTGTGGGGTTACAGTGGGAATCAATGAGGTAACAGGCATGAAAGCACTCTGAAAATTATAAAATATACCTTGAGGTAGGAGCAAGAGTGTTAGACCAGGTGACATTTAAGGTTCCTTACAAATCAAAGATTCTTGATTATAACAACACATTAAAATTTAAGGTCTAGAAAGTTTAAAAAAATTCTTCACATAACTCCAATATTTGCTTTCATTTCAGAGTAGGTGAAATATTAACAGTGGTTATCCACAACAAATTCTTATGGTTACAAAGGGCAAAGACAGACTTATCCACATTGTAGAAAAGAGTTCTGAAACAGCAATCCAAGCACAATACACAATTGTGAGCCTGGATTTATACTTAGGAAAAGCAGAAGGCAGAAAAATGTTTATCTTTGAAGTCATGTATACAGCTCCTTTTATTGTACTTGGAAATATTTACCCCTAAATTTTCACTTAGCATACCACAGATTTACAGCTGAAAGGAGGTTTGGAGGATAACTACTCCAATGTCTTCATTTTAAAGATGTGGAACCTGAGCCCAGAGAGGTTAAGTGATTTGCCTAAGTTCATACAGGTAGTACGCAGCACAGCTAGAATTAGAAACCCAGTTCTTTGACCCTAAGCTCAGCTTTCTTTTCAGATTATTCCGCTATCTCCATTATATGTTGATACTTCATTAACTCTAAAGAACGTATCTGAGTAATAAATGACCTAATACATACAGGGAAACCTAAAATATAAACTCAGTGCTGCGTTAAAACAGTCAGTGAAGCTACATAACTGCAGAAAATATTACTTTGCAATAGTCAATTAGCTTGGATTACACAGACAACATAAGGCTTGACTACTTTGGTTATGATTTTTCAAGGCAAATTGTTTGGAAAAAAACTATCCCAAAGAACAGACGCATATTGTTTTCTCTAACTCCAGAAAGCTTACAAGTCATTAAGCACATATGCCTTGAAGAAGTTTAGTGTTCTAATGCCCTTCATTAATCTGATTTGGAATTTAAAGGGCAAATTAACTTTCAGACCTTTAGGCTATAAAATGTGCCTACTCATAGTAATGTTAACTCATAGTAATGTTAAAAATTATCTATATTTTAAAAAAAAAATCAGGCCCATGATTGCATTGACATAAGGAACTCCCTCTATTACAAAAAATAAGCACCTGCTCTACAATCTAGTCTTGGACAGTTGCTTGGGACATTGAGAGGTTAAATGAGTAGCTGAGAGTCTAAAAACTAGTATCTTTCTGACCAGGGCCTAAACCCAGTTCTTCCTGACTCTGAGGGTGGCTGTTTTCTATCCACTCACTGAGCCACACTGCCACTGTATATTTTATTTCATAAAAAATACTAACTATAAATACTGTATAAGTGAAATTGGCTTAGATCTAGAGAATTTTTATTTGGGTGTGGAAAAGTCTGTGCTGGTTTCAAACTATCGTTAAGTTTTGTTCTCATTTCTACAAATAAAAGCAAGATACCTGCTTAAGGTTAAACTAAATGTGGGAATTGTCCATAGTTTAAACAAGGACTTATTTAAAATGTCGAAGAGCAATATAGTTCAAGCATGCAAGAATTCCTGGGATCTGTTCAATATGCTAAAAAAAAAAAAAACAAAACCGAGCAAGTGGACCCGATGGTTAAACAGATCATTAAGTATTTATTTTGGGATGAATTGACACAGAACTGCCAATAGTGAAATCCGCCTCAGGCAAGCACTGGTACTGGGGCGAAGAGGAGCTTTTGGAGGACATATAATAGGTAGAGTGGTACGTACTTGGGCATTATAATTCGGCAAGGGTAAATTACGCAAAAACAATGTTTTTAATTGTTTAACGCCTCCGAATACGCAGCAACCGGGTGACTTGGGATAGATTAGTCTCGGCAACCTCCCTAATACACTCCGATCATCACCCAGGGTTAGCTTGTTACACACTCGGACTCAGCCAGATACCCAAGAAGGCAGTGCACAATTGAAAAGCTGGGGCAGCAGCATCCCAGCCTGTAGCCACAGACCTAGTCTATACCGCAGAGAAGGGGAGGGGCGGGAAAGGGAGGACCATCTCTGGGCTAGGACACTGGCCGGGAAGAAGCCAGGCAGGACACCTGCTCAGAAATGGGCTTCTCCCGCCCTATCACGTTTTTCTTCACCAACCCCACCACCTCTTTTCTTCTCCAACCTCACCACCTCCTTTCTTCCCTAGTCCCACCACCTCCTTTCTTCTCCAGTCCCACCACCTCCTTTCTTCTCCAGTCCCACCACCTCCTTTCTTCTCCAGTCCCACCACTTCCTTTCTTCTCCAGTCCCACCACCTCCTTTCTTCCTTGGTCCCACCATCACCCTTCTTCCCCAGTCCCTCTCAATGCAGCGGCTCCTCATCCTCCAGTGTTCGCCTCGCAATTACACTGAGCCGGGCTAAGGCTTGTCCCGAGCGTGCAGAGGACGATGTGCCCACCCTCCTGGAGGAATGGGGGGGAGTGGCCCCCTCACCTTGCTGCAGGTCTTGCTGGTCGTACCACGGCTCGTCCTCCTTCATCTCAAACTCCTCCACCAGGTTTTCCGCCAACATCGCGGCGGGGTATCAGAGGCAGCCTCGGTCCCGCCGCCGCCGCCTCCGCCCCGGCCGCTGCCCCCGGCTCTCCTCAGCCCGGGTCTTTGCCAACGACCACACAGCCTCGGAGCCCTGACAACCAGCGGGCTCCGGCACCGCTCCGATTCCCCGGCTGGCAGCCAACGTCCAGCGCCCCGGTGCCGGCTCTCCCCGGCCCGCGGCCCCAAACGTGGCACTTTCCAAAAGTAGCCCTCCCCAACCGGGGAGCGATTCAAAACCCAGGCCGCGCTCCCACCAATCCCAGGCCGCCGCCCTGACGAGGGGCGGGCGCTCTCGCCAATCACGCCCTTCGGGTAGATCCGATTCGTCTCGGCTCCCGGGGAACAGACCAATGGAGACCCTAGAGAGGACCAAAGAGGCGGAGAAAGAAGAAAGGAGCGCTGAAAAGCTAGTCCAACCACGCCTCACGCCCTGAAATGGATAGCAAGGCGCACGCGCAGTTGGCGTCTCCCCACCCGACTTCGCTCTCCGGGGCACACCCGGCTCCGGTCCGGAAGGGAGCCTGCGTGGTGGCGGAGGAAACGAAGGAGAACGGCGTGCGTATTAGTGACCGAGGCTGGTGCTGGGCAGAGGCCGAGGCCAGGGGCGCGGGGCCCCAGGCGGCGGAGGGTATGAGAGGTTCTGTTCAGTGCGGGGTGCGGTGACTCACGGGGAGACTGTCACCTCAGGTGCATTGACGTCACCTTGGGGTGAGGATGAGGATGAGGGGCGTGTGTCGTGAGGTCTGGCATCGTGGTGTGAAGCACAGAGCGCTGGCTCTGGAGTCGGAGGACCTGGGTTCTGATCCCTCCGTGTAACATTGCACAAGACATTACACTTGTCTGGTCCTCAGTTTCCTCAATTATAAGCAATGGAGTTCGGGTAGGTGGACCCTGAAGTCCATTCCAGCTGGTTCTATAATTGCATGAGGCTGAGGTGAGGAATGTGCAACAGAAGGGGATTGAGGGTGAGGGGTGTGCCGTATGGGGAAGGGGGAGGAAGGTGAGAGATGTATTCTGTGGGGAGTAAGGTGATAGAGGTCCAGCATAAGGAGTGGAATAGGGAGTGGAGGGATGAATGTTCAGCATAAACCAGCGGGTTGGTTTGATACGGTGGAATCAGGTTTGATGTGGAGGATCTAGGTCAGGGGTGGGGAGGGAACCTGAGACCTTGAGGCCACATGTGGCCCTCTAGTTCATCAAGTGCGGCCCTTTGACTAAATCTAAACTTCACAAAACCGTTCCCCTTCCGGCCTAGAGGCCACGTGTAGCCTCAAGGCCGAAGGTTCCCCTCCCCTGATTCCAGGTTCTCATCCAGTCTCTGAAACCACCTCTGTGACCTTGGACAAGTCACTTCACTATCTGGGCCTCAGTTCCCTCAGCTGTCTAATGAGGAGGTTTGACTAGATGGCCTCTGAGGTCCTTTCCACCTGTAGATATGATTCCTATGAGGATGAAGAGAGGTATGTACAGCATAAAGGATTGTGTTGGGGGCCGGGAAGGTGAAGGTGACCGTGATGTGGTGAATAGTGTAAGTGGAGGGAGGGGAAGGAGCTATGAGCCACCTGGTGCGCTGAGTCGGGTTTCCTTGGGGAGAGGAAGACTGTCTTTGCAGTTCCAATCACCTGTTCCTATGGACTTTGAGAGGTGGAGCTGCTGCTGAATTCTTGTCAAAACTCAGGTCATTAGGGTTTAGAGCTGGAAGGGACCTTGGAAGTCACCTAGTCCAATGTGCTCATTTTACACATTAGGAAACTGAGGCCCAGAAAAGTTGCTGTGATTTACCCATAGTCATACAGTTACCCCAACCCATCACTCTTTTCACAAGGCCACTGTATTTCTCCTACTGATTCAGACTTGAGGGTTTGGCAGAATCCACTCACTCTTCACTAATCCCATCCATCCTCAGCCAGCAAAGAGTAAGCTGGTCATGACCAAATGTTAATGATGCCATTAAGGGTCTATGTAACATGTATTACAGGATCTTTGACTGCCTTAGGTATAGACAGAATGGTTTCAAGGGGTGCTGAAAAAAGCCTATTACCCTGAATAGGGGCTGTTGCACCTGAAAGTTTTACTATTAAAACTTCATTAACCCATTGAAGGAAAAATGAAGAAGTTCCTAGGAATACATCAAATTTTAAGCTATTATTAGTTATTCACATTTTAATCTGTATATGTTTTAGGCTCTTTTCTGAAAGGATTTTGATAGAAATATAAAAGCACCTTAGCTAAAGGAGAAAGTCTTCCATTGAGTAAAAAACTTTTTCTACTTAATGATTTTTATAAGCCATTACATTTTAAATGTAATGTAAATGTAAATGTAATTTAAACATAATGCAAATATAAATGTAATTTAAATGTAATGTAAATTCAAAATGTACCAAATGAGTGGCTCAGTGGATCCCCACTAAACCTAGAGAACCATGTAGAACCATTCTAAACTCACCTATAGGATTTATAGTTTAAAGCAGGGGTGGGAAACCTGCACACATTTGGCCTTCTAGGTCCTTGAGTGTGGTGTTTTGACTGAGTCTAAGTTTTGCAGAACAAATCCTTTTTATTAAGGGATTTGTTCTGTGAAGTTTAGATTCAGTCAAAGGGCTGCACTTGAGGAACTAGAGGGCCACAGTTTCCCACCCCTGGTTTAAAGGGACTTTAGAGATCCTCTAATCCAGGGGTTCTTAACCTTTTTTGAATTTTGGACTGCTTTTGACAGTGGTGAAGCCTATGGAACCCTTCTCAGAATAATGTTTTTAAGTGTATAAAATTCAAATACATAGGATTACCAAGGAAACCAGTTATATTGAAATTGTTGCTGTTGTTCAGTTTGTGTCCAACTCTTTGTGACCCCATTTGGGGATTTTCTTGGCAAAGATAGTAGAGTGGTTTGCTGAGTCCTTCTCGAGGTCATTTTATAAATGAGGAAATTGAAGCAAACAGGGTTAAGTGACTTGCCCAGGGTCACACAGCTAGTAAGTTATCTGAGGCCCTATTTGAACTCAGGTCTTCCTGATATTGAAATATGGTTATCAAGTATTAAAGAAGCAAACTCATGGACCCCAGATTAAGGACCTCTGAAGTCCAACACCCCTCTGCCCCCCCCCATTATGCAGAGGAGAAAATTAAGGGCTCAAGAGACAGTTACTCACTTAGGCTTACACAGTTAAGTAGCAAAGCCAGGCTTTGGCCATTAAACAGATTGTTGCCAATGGATTGTAATACATATATAGGGAGATAAATGTAACTGATTCAAGCAGATTTCTTGTAGCCTAAATCCTATGATATTAGTCATACTTGGGTATATAGTAAAGATTTTAATGTGACATAACACACACAATAGCTCCCAGATAACATTACCATTACTGTAGATTTCTAAAGAATTGTCCCATCCCCACCCCTCCATTCATATCGGATAGTTTTCATTTGGTCCTAAAGTCAAATATATTGTATTTTCTAGTTAACACATTTTGAGCCTCTGCTAGAAGTTTGGAAACTAATGATAATATTGGAATGTCAGGGATCATGGAGATAATTGAAATCCACAAATTTATTTTAGCTACCAAATGCCTTCCTCTTAAATTTTTACCTTTTACCAGAGCAGAGCAGCTAAAATAAAATGTTGCTGATATATTTCACATCTTCCTTCTCCCCTCTAGCAAAGAAGGTCTGATGAAGGTGCTGATAACCAGTGAAACATTCTTCTCAAAACCTGAAGTGTTCCCAGGGCCCGATTTAGGCATTGACAAAGTAGGTTACTTTTCAGGGGTACCAAGCAGGCCTATCACCTTTAGCCAAATTCTTCTCCTATCTTTGATTATTGCTTGAAATTTTACTGTTAAACCTCATGTGTGGCTAAGCTGATTCAGAAATTCCTTCAAGTCTTCAAAGATCCAGAAGAAAAAAGCAAATCCTAGACATCATGAGCTCCACCAATAGTAAATATTATTTCAGACTAAATAGTATATTTTTCTTCCCATATTTATTAAAAACATAAACTTCCATTTTAAAAGAAGAATAGCAAATCTCCTGTCTCTGAGTACTGACATTATGGAAGAAAAAATTTGCTGATTTTCCAGTTTTTATTGCGTAAATCTCTGTTGTGCGACCATGGCCAAAAATGAAAAAGGCTCTTTAAATTTAAAAATAGATGACCACAGAGACCCTTTGAAGCAGGATGACTGGATTTATAATTTGTTAATTATGGTTTATGGAAATTGAAGGAGCACTAAGGTATCCAGGACTTAGAAGTTCACCTTCTGTATCTGTGGTTCTCAAACATTTTGGTCTTAGGACTCCTTTACACTCTTAAAAACTATTGAGGACCCTTTATACTTTTGAAAGGGACAACTAGGTGGTACAAAGGATAGAGCACTGGGCTTGTAATCAGGAAGATTCATCTTCATGTGTTCAAATCTGATCTCAGACACTTAGTAGTTGTGTGATCCTGGTCAAGTCACTTAATCCTGTTTGCCTCAGTTTCCTCATCTGTAAAATGAGCCAGAGAAGGAAATAGCAAACCACTCCAGTATCTTTGCCAAGAAAATCCCAAATGGGGTCATGAAGAATCAAACACAACTGAAACGATTGAATAACAGCAAAATTTTTGTCAGCTTAGCTTCTTTGCTAACATTTTATTTGAAATTTTTACATAAGTATTCATTAGGAATGTTGGTCTATAGTTTCTTTCTTTGTTTCAGCTCTCCATAGTTTAGATAGCAAGACCATATTGGTATCATTGAAAATATTTGGTAGGATTCTTTCTTTTGCTATTTTTGCAAACATTTTGAGTGTCATTGGAATTAATTGTTCTTTGAATATCTGATATATTGTGAATCCTTCTGGTCTTGGTTCTTTTTTCCTTAAGAGTTCATTTATGACTTGTTTGATGTCTTTTTCTGAGGTTAGGTTGTTTTAGTTCTCTATTTCTTAGTCCATTAATCTGGGTATTTTATATTTTTGCAAATATTAATCTTTTTGTTTTTCAGTTTTATTGGCAACATAATTGGGCAAAATAGTTTCTAATAACTTTTATTTTTTCTTTATTTGCAGTGAATTCTCCTTTTTCAGTTTTGAAAGTGGTAATTTGATTTTCCTCTTATTTTTCATCAGATTTGTTAATTTTGTTTGTTTGTTTGTTTGTTTTGCTAGGCAATGGAGTTAAATGACTTGCCACGGGTCACACAGCTAGTAAGTGTCAAGTATCTGAGGTCGTATTTGAACTCAGGTCCTCTTGACTCCATGACCAGTGCTCTATCCACTGTGCCACCTAGCACCTAACCCTGTTAATTATTTATATGTTAATTCAGTGGTGTTCTTGCTTTCAATTTTGTTAACATCTTCTTTGATTTTTAGTATGTCTTTTGCTTCTTGAGGTTTTAAAACTTGCTTGTTTTCTAGGGTGTTTTTTAGTTGCATGCTCAATTCATTAATCTGTTCTTTCTTTCTTTTGTTGATGAAAGAGTTTATAGACATCAGTTTTCCCCTAAGGACTGCTTTGGTTGTATCCTCAAAACTTTGGTATAATGTCTCATTATTGTCATTATCTTTAATGAAATTATCTATTATTTCTATTTTTTCTTTGACCCAGCCATAATTTAAGATTAAGTTAGTTCCAGTTAATTTTTAATCCTTTCTTCAATGGCCTTTTATTGAATATTATTGTTATTATATTGTGGTCAGTAAAGGATGTATTTACTGTTACTGCTTTTCTGCATTTGTTTGTGAGGTTTTTATGCACTAATACAGCAGTTCTCAAACTTTTTGATCTCAAGACTCCTTTATACTCTTTTTTTTTTTTCACTTTTAGGCAATTGTGACTTGCCCAGGGTCACACAGCTAGTAAGTGTCAAGTGTTTGGTCTGAAGCCAGATTTGAACTCAGGTTCTCCTGACTTCAGGGCTTGTGCTCTATCCACTGCACCACCTTGCTGCCTCCAACTCATTTATACTCTTAAAAATTTTCAAGGACCCCTTCCTAGAGAGCTTTTGTTTATGTGAATTATTCTACCAATATTTTCCATATTAGAAACCGACTGATTAGTATTACTATACAAATAGTTTTGGCTTCACAGATGCCCCCTAAAAGGATCTCAGAACTCCCCCAAGGTCTCCTTACCACATTTTAAATATCCTCTAATACGTGATCAGATTTTATAAAAGTGCTGTGCACATGTGAGAAATATGTATCCTTTCTGTTCCCATTCAATAATCATCAGAGATCTATGATATATATCTCCACCTTTACTAAGGTTCTGCTTAGGTCCTTAACTTCTTTTTTATATATTTTATCATTAGATTTGTCTGACATCTTGAACCTCAAAAGAATGAGTTTACCACTCTTTGCCTAATGTTAAAGGTACTGTGACTTCTGAGTCAGAATTAGTAGAGTAGGGTAGAGCATGCTTCATAAATCGTCATGCTTAATATAAAGCCGAGAACAAAAAAAAAACAGTGCCTCTTTTAAAGTTTAGTCTTTGATGACTTGAATCCACTTTACAAGTTCTAGCTTCCTTGACTTCTCAACTTTCTGAATCCTTGGCAAGGTTATGTCCCTGAAAAATTTGTAGTAATTTGGAATTATAGCAGGGCTATATTATCTCCATTGACAAAAATATCTCTATGGTATGATATCTACAAGCATAAAATTAATGGGAAGGCCAGGTGAATGTCTAAGTAATTCAAATCAAATCAGTATTCTTTACCCTCTCACTTATCTAAGTTATTTAGGAAAAGAAGACTTTTGGGTCCAGATCACCTGAGTTGTTTTGTCTGTGAATAGCCTGTGATTATCTTTAAAGTCAGAGCAGAGAATGGAGCTTTTTTTCTTGTGGAGTTATTTGGATAATTACCTGTTATCTGCTTCAGTTAGACTGTGGAGACATAATCTAACATGACAACTAGATAGTTTACTTTTTAAAGGGGAAATTGAGAAAAGAGGGATGCAGAACATTCTTTAAAGCCATAGTTAAGATTAAAAGGAAAAAAATTATAAAACACGTTTAAAAGAGCTATTAAATAATGAATTCATATTCAAATTCTGTGATCTAGTTTAACATTAATTTATTTTGCATTAAACGCTTAAGTGATTTGATCAAAATCACAAAGGGTATGGACATGAGAGCCAAGTTCAGAACTCAGAGTTTAGTCATTGAGTTCTTATTGTTCGTCAAGAATAAATATTGAAATGCAGACCTGTATCATTGAATGGACAGAGCTTTAGATTCTGTTAAGGGACAAGTCTCTGCTGCAAGTTTTTTCTGACTTGGGTGAAAGAAAGGGTGTCATTTTCCTGTTGTGTATCAGATAAGATAATGAATGTAAATCACTTTATAAACGTAATACTTGGATAAATTTGTGATCTCATTGATCTTGGTCCTCTTTCCACTGAGGCAACCCATTCATGAATTCTTATCCTATGGGTACTATACTATGGTACTATCTTCCTGTACATAAATGCCTTCACAAGGTATCTACCCAGTGTTCTGGAGGCTTTCCTCTGGATCTCTTGACATTACATGGATAACACTGGGCTGTCATTGTTTTGCTTTTGTTTAGTGACCAGACAACCTCTTTTTCCCATTATATGTCTATGCACTGATATCTTTTGTGTCCCTTCTCCTGTACATTTCTTCACTGATAATATGCTGCAGCTCCCTTGTGTTCGTGTACCCCTCTACTGTTCTTTGGGTCATTGGGTCACACATGTATGACAGGAAGGGACTTCAGAAGTCATCACAGTCAATCCCTTTGTTTTACAATTGAAGAAATTAAAGCCCAGAGTGACTGTTAACTTTCATCTTTAGGAGGCTGGTATTCCATGATTAGAAAACTGCCTCACTCATTGGCAGAATATTGCTAAATATTCTGGTATGTACACCTGTCCTTCAAGGAATATCTATTTTCTACTGGACAACAGGCATTGTTGTTGTTTGTCCTTCATTCTCAAAGAGGACCATGACATCAGGGAGGTGATGTCATGACATACAAGTGAATTTGTTTTAAGTGAGGAAGGGCTGTGAAAAGTCACCAGCCTCACTTTTTCCTCTGGAGCCATCTGGGTCCAGTGGCAAGATATAGATCAGGATGACTGGAGATAGAACTGGATGCAGTGGGAGACCTTGGCCTTTTTAAGCTAAGGTCTCTAACAAGTCTCAGTTTGACTGAGACAATGCCCGATCAGTGATTAAGGCTAGGCAAGAAATGAGGCACAGGACAGCATTTATTACTTAATTAAAAAAAAGAATGAATCTGGGAGGGGAAGAGTCTCAGGGTTTCTGGCCAAAACAGAAACAATTGCTTTTAACATTCACTCTGAGCCACTCAGGGCCCAAACAGTGACCAAGTGGGGCTTGTCCCCACTTGGCCAATCAATGAGAGCCAGTGTGATTTGGGTTTAAGGCAAGGTCCTTAAGACAAAAATCTAGCCCTTAAATCCCAAGATATTTTGTGAGGGTTAAGCAATCAAAATTTATGTTCCTTTGGGCAGAGCATCTGCAGGTAAGGGTATGATACTGTATGTGAAGAGACAGAGACAGAGAGACAGAGAGAGAAAGGAAGGAAAAAAAGAGGGAGCTGTGTTGCCCAACTGGCCAGTTGGGTCCCCAGTAGGTCAGCTTCTACTACTCCTCACAGAAGTTATTTGTCATTCATTCTCATCAGGGAGGTGATTCCATGACATGCAAGTGAATCGGATTTAAGTGAGGGAGGGTTGTGCAAAGTCACCAGCTCATTTTCTCCTCCGGAGCCTTCTGGGTCCAGGCAACAGACACTGCACCAGATAAGGGCGTATAGATAAAAAAGAATCAAAAAAGGCACTGCCCTCAAGAAGCTTACATTTTTGGAGGGGTAAAGAAACTGGATGTGTATAGATAATCTAAGTACTTTCAGGGAGGAGCACTGAAACTGAGGGGACTGGGAAAGGCCTTGTTTTGGAGGTAGCAATTGAGATGACCTTTGAAGTAAGCTAGGGAACCTCAAATGGAGATGAAGTGAGAATATATTTCGGACCCTGGGAACAGTCTGAGAAAAAGCATGAAGGTGGAAAATGGTACATCATGCACAAAATGTAAGAATGTCAAATAGGCTGAAACATAGTATGTGCAAACGGGAGTTATGTGTAAGTGTGAAAAGGTAAGCATGAGTCAGATTATTATAAAGGGCTTTAAATGACAAAGAAAAAGAATTTGTATTTTATCTTAGAGAGAAGAGGGAACCATTGGAGCTTTTGAGTAGGGGAGTGACATGATGAGTCTGTGTTTTAAGAATATCACTGGCAGCTATGTGGAGAAGAGATTAGAGAGTAGAGAGATGGGAAGTAGGGAGAGCAGTTAGGAAATCATTAGCAGTCATTCAAGTGAGAGATGAGAAAGTACCAAACTAGTGTGCTGACTATATAAGTGAAAAGGATATGTATTTGAAAGATGTTGTGGAGGTAGAATTGACAAAACTTGGCAATTGGTTGACTATGGGGGAGAAGGAGGAGGAGAGAGAGTGAAGAGTTAAGAATGACTCCCCAAATTGTGGAACTGGGTGTCTTGAAGGATGGAGAAAGCCTCAAAAAAATTAGGAAGTTTAGAGGAAGAATAAATTTTGGGGAAATGATGGTGAGTTCTGTTTTGGATATGTTGATTTTTGAGATGCTTACAGGATCTCCATTTGGGAGTGTTCAATAGACAGTTGGTAATGTGGGATTAGAGCTCAGCAGAGAAACTGGGATTGGTTGGGGGGCAGAGCCAAGATGGCGGAGGGGAAGCAGTGACTGTCTTGAGCTCTCTCCCAAAGCCCTCCAAATACCTAAAAAAATGGCTCTAAACAAATTCTAAAGCAGCAGAACCCACAAAAAGACAGTGAAGCAAATTTCCAGCCAAAGACAGCCTGGATGGTTGATTGGAAAGGTATATCGCACTGGGCGGGGAAAGGAGCACAGTTCCGCGTGGGCACGCAGGCCACAGCAACCCTGGGGCAGGCCTCAGAGATCTGAATCGCGGGCAGCTGTGCCAGTTTCCAGACTTCTCAACCCACGAATACCAAAGACAACTTAGAAGGTCAGTGGGAAAAGTCTGTGACTGTGGTGAGAGAAGAGCTAGGTCTCAGCCGCAAGTCTTGAGCACTGTCCGGGGCTATGGCCTTTTCCTGAGCTTCCGGCCCACAGCCTGAGGGGGAATTGAGCAGCTGATCAGAGGCGGATTG